CATTTTGTTTTCCATTTTGTTTCTCGTGTTCGCTTTGTTTTGGACCCGTAACACCCCTCTTCGATGAGGGACAAAAAAAATATCAGCAAAGACAATAATAATGAAATAGTACATTGACAGTCCTAAAATCGGCGAGTCTGTCGCTAGAACGAAAGTAGCTTCGTGTAACTAAAGTTTAGGTTAAGTTGGGCCGAAAAAGGCGTGTTAGATTTGGCGAGTGGTTAAACAGGGTTTCGGAATAGTTTTAGGAATTGTAATAGTCTTTGCGAATATAAAAATTTAGGGTGTATTATGCTATTCGTTTAGTAATAAGATTGTATGCTTTATTAGAGATACCTGTATGATTATATGATTGTATTAATAAAGCAAAGGCGTGAGTTATTTTCCCAAGGGCCAGAAGGCCTTTATTTTATAACAATTATTTTCTCTACAGGAATTGCCTATACTACCATTATCGTCTATAATCCCTAAAATGCCTTATTGACAAAAATGCCCTTATTGTCAAAATTACCCATAATCCCAAAATCGCCGTTTCAGCCATTTCTCCCAGAAATGGCCTTTATTTCTAGCCAGTAAGTCCAGTTTTGGAAATAACCAAGTCACGTTTCCGGTACCTTAAAGAATCGTAAAATGACAGACTGTAAAAGGATCTACTGGGATCGATGGGTTTGATGTGGTGTATTGTCAAATAGTTGATGGGAAGAAGGTTGGAACAGCAAAGGTGCATCGCCCAGTAAATATGTGAGAGTTGACGTTGAAGAAGGATCCGGTTTGATAATATGAGTGAAAATCTGGATTCAATCAATACGAACGAAAAGAAGAAAAAGAAAGCGAAAGATACAATCGAAAAAGAGCACTCACCCAATATCCGAATGGTAATCGTAAAAAATCAATCATATTGATGATGTTAAGGCCGAAATGGATGAACGTAAAGATTATCAGAAACCGGCAGACATGGATAATGCTAGTAAAACATTTGATGTTAGGTGATGGAATTGTGCCAGAAAAGATAAACATAAAACATTCTATCATCAAAACTTGCGCCTGGATGTGGCATCGAAGTTGAAATGTTGGACATAAGGCGTTTACCAATTATAAAAAATCATCTGAGATGGGACTTACCAAAAGAACCCTTAATGTCTATGATCATTGTCGTTACGAATCAGAGATTATCGTAGGAATGGAAAAGGTGTTGAAATCTATGGAATATGGTGTTCATTCATTCTATGCTCGTTTAAATGGTACATGAAAAATGCTGAAAGTGGTGCTTAAAATAGAGAGTAGCCTGGAAACTGCGATATGGAAAACATTGGTGAAATGAAAATGGAAATGGTATGAACTGAGGCGTCCATCAGTTGTGGATATGGCTCATGATAATAGAATCGAAATTGAAAAGGAAATCGATATAGATTTGACATTTGATACGATATTTTATTTGAGAATACAGACTCGAAGAGAAGTTGTCAACAAGATGCATATTGCTGGTTGTTATGAAAAAGGAAGGGACCCGGGATGTTATCAGTGTTTTGGCCTAAACCTCCCCAAAGTCCGAAACGTTTCGCCCAGAGGAATTTTGGTTTCGCCCTATAAGTCCGAAACCCTCCGAAACTAGTTTCGCCCAATTTGATCTGCAAATTCGGGTTTCGCCCGAAACACTGGATGTCATATGACGAACTTAACGAGTACGATGAAATATAGGTGCATATGGCCGTACGTTAATCTCTACAGAATGATAACACCGGACTTAAAAGATGTGAGGGATCCTTAAAGCGTCTAGAATGCGGAGGGAGGAGAAAAAAAAGGGAATCGCTTGATCATGACTCGCCAATTTAAACGAATAGCCATGCGAGTGGTCTTAAATAAATCCGGTCGTGCATTAAACCAAGAGTTCTTCAACTCTTCGACAATAGTCATTCGGCAAAAGATCTAGTAAACTTAAATAAAAAATATATATTAATTATATAAAATTTT